AAATAGTATTTATAAATATTTTGTAAATTTATAATTATTTTGTAAATACTTTATAAATATTATGTGCTATCTGCGTAATTGTTTCGCTTTCATTAATAGTTCGTGAATGACAATGTTCTATTTTATTCTGTTGCATATCCGATGATAAAAACGAATAGAGATGGATCCTACGTATATGTTTCGTAATCGGTGACAAATTGTAAAATTACGTTATTAAAAGAATATAATTTAAAAAATCAATATATATATATATAATTTATTAACATATTTTATACTGTTAATGATTAATCTATATTGAAACAAGAGCTTATTTATACCTTTATTGATTATTTCAAGTCGCATACTGATCTGATAGTATGTAAAAAGAAAATATGTCAATAAATAATGTATTTACAAGAAAAGGTAATTATCGAGCGCAGGTAACTGAGAAGGGTAACTTTGCTAATACAGATATCTACTTATCCACAAGTTTTCTAAGCTGTAAGCTCAATACACATACATTGATACAAGAGATACATCGAGACAACGACAATGTTTCGATCGACAGTGTAAAGAGTTTTCTTTATCTCAAAAATAAAAATAATTTGTAAATATGCTTTTCTCTATCGTTGTAAAGAAGATAAATTTATAGAAAATTGTGAAATGTTATCGATCAATTCAGCATGTATGAATATAATATGTTTAATAAAGCTGCGCATTAATTTAATAAAATGTACAAGAAAAATATATCAATAATATATACATATATGAAAGAGATAAATGACAAACGTACGTGCAGGTGACGAATGGGACTTTCTATTATCCAGACTTTTGTTTCTATCTTCACTGTAACTTTGTATATAAATATCAATATTCTTCCGATGTCGTGCGCAAGCTAACGATAATGATCAATGATAGTCTTTTATATCTCATATAAGAGAATCGTAAATCTGTCTACCTTTAATAAGTTAAGTGAGAAGAAATAACCCTCATCTCGAGTTTGCAGTACAACTCATGTGGTCTCGCAATTCGTCTTGTCATTCTCTTTGTAGTGCAATTTTCTTTATGTCTATAGTTCGTCCGTAGTCATAACAAACCTAAATTATGATCCATTTCAAACAATTCTATCGACAAATTAAATTGGCCACGAGATTGGCTTAATTTTTTAAGTCTTCAATAGACAATACGTATAATGCGAATTACAGTCAATGGAAAGATACTTCAAAGAAACACTAATACAAATTACAATCGTTCATAACATTTGGATGTGGCTTGGAAGGTAGAAGGTAAAATCTTTTTCTCTGACTTGATGTCATTAGCAGTAAATCTATCGTATCAGAAACATTGACAGATATTTCCAGCGATATTTCCCAGTGCAATAAATTTCTTCTAACAAAAAAGTTTTTGAAACTCGCACTTACGACAGTGTAAATTTCAATATGACGTACATGTTTTGTCAGCTTTGTATATACATATATTATGTGGCAGTGTTTGAAAATTTTTATAATTTTTTTAGATGTTTGAAATATATTATTTTAAATTTCCATAACAATAAGTGTCATAACAAAATCATTATAACATTACTGTGTGACTTAATATTAATTACAAAATGGAAAAATTCATCTTAGTTTTTATAAACATTTTTAGAATATTAATATTAATGGACCAGTCATCAATTGGAATATTATTGGAAAGATTTAATCGTAAATTAATATTATTCTAATTAATATTAAAATTGCAGGAAATTATAAAAATTCAGTATTAGGAGGATAGACAGGAAGATAAAGATATTATCTTTCATTAAGAAAATTTAAATTACTTCTCTACCAAATCAACTCTAAAATTTAAATTTCTCTGACATTTCAAAAATATTGAGTTTTTTTTAATTTAAAAGCCATCTCTTTAAATTATAGAAGTGTATGTCCCATTTTAATTTTACATAAAATATCTCAAAATATATAAAAAATATCAAAAACTGTTTTAGGCAAAAAATATATGATATAAAGGAAGACAAATAACAGTAATCAATTTAAATAGATTTTTCAAAGAATTGAATGATTTTTTTACATAATGATATAAAAAATAAATCTATCTATTAATTTTTTCTATTATCTTGACTTTATATTTGATACTTATAGAATAATTAATGAAATCATTATATATAAAAATCATAATTTTATTTTTTTAAATGGCAGTAATCTTTGAAAAATCAATATAATGATAAAATCAATATTCTTTGAATCTGTTCTCCTTTAAAGTATACAATTTTTGTCCTTTAAAATATACAATTTTTTCCATACTTTTTATATTTTTCGAAATATTTTAATATGAAAATTAAAATGAGACATCCTGTACACACAGATATTAAAATGATTCATAAACAGTTGAAAGCGTATCGCACGTATCAACAATTCCTTCAAAATCTGCTTACTATCTGTGGTTGTTGGTACATGCCCACAAAATCCGGCAAATTTATATATTACTGGTCAATCTATGTATTCGTAATGATGATTATGTATACAATGATGAGCTTGCATATGTGTTATATTCTTAGACATAACTTGAAAGTTATGATGAAATTCGTTGGCATAACAATAACTGGACTTGGCGCTATTCTCAAGGTACGATTTAGGAGGAAATAGGATTTTATTACATAAGAGGACAAAATCAAAAAAATATTTTACATCATTTACATATATACAATAAAATTATGCAAGAAAAAATATTAATTTATTAATATATTAACCTTTTGAGGATTGGACGACTTTTAAAGTTTTGAATTTAGAATTTTGTTGAAACCACATTTTATGTCGTATCGATTACATTATATATTGCGTCATTTAAAATGATATCTGCCACTGCAGAACCGATATATTAGCTTTGGTTCGATCGGAACGGTAAAAAATTTTTTTCGATATTTGAGTTTTATATCGTTATGCTTCTACAATAACTTTTTAATTAAAATAACTAGCACATATAAAAAATTTTATAAGAAGCAATTATAAAGAATTATTATCTAAATTTGGAATGTAATAAAATAATAAGAAAACATATGAAATTACATCAATTTACTTCGTAATAAATATATAAGTGTACATGCATATAAAATGTTAGTAATGAAAGGAATAAAGGTAAATATTAAAAACAACAGATCCAGCTCTGATGACCTTAACCTTGACGTATATTGTCAAAGTCATAACGTTGAACTTCGACTGGTTTTAATTGGCGATCGTCCTTCGTTAAAAAGTTATAAACAAAAGAAGTTTGAAAAATAATGTATCTTTTCTACTAATGGGAGTACAAATTAGTTCGGTCCGTTTCCCTAAAGATGGCTCCAGCTGTTGTGAATAGTTCATAGTGATAGCTGATTTTAGTGGTTTCATCTGGCGGAGGTTAAACATCTGCTAATAATATTCAGTTTATATCGCTTTGAGTTTCATACAAAAACCTTGATTTTTCCTGTATTTGAAATGTCGAATTTTGTATTAACCAAGCAGCATTTGCGGGAAGTTTTCATTTTCTGCTTTAATTGGAAGACAAGTGTGACTGAAGCCCATCGAATGCTTATCGAAGTTTATGGTGACACTGCTCCAACTGATAAAATCATGTAGGGAATGGTTTTGATGTTTCAAGAATGGAGATTTCAGCGTTGAAGACAAGCCTCGCTCTGGACAGTCAAAAAAATTCGAAGACAAAAAAGAGGCATTATTCGAAGAAGATCAGAGTCAAACGCAAGAGGAGCTTGCAGAATCATTGGGGTAACTCAACAAGCCTCTGTATGAGAACCATGAGAATGATTCAAAAACAAGGACTTGGATGCCTTATGAACTGAAACCGAGAGCCTTTGAAAGGCGATTTTTCATTTGCGAACAGCTGATTCAAAAACAACAAACAAAAGATTTTTTGCATCGGATTGTGACTGGAGATGAGAAGTGGATACGACAACCCCAAGAAGAAAAAATATTATGCTAAGGTCATTCGTTGCCATTGACCTTAACACCATGGCCGAACATTCATGATTCGAAGATCATGCTCTGTATCTGGGATCAAAAGGATCTTGTTTACTATGAGCTGCTGAAACCTGGCGATTCCATTACGGGCGATCAGTATCGGCTACAATTGATTCGTTTGAGCCGTGCGTTGCGAGAAAAACGGCCGGAATACGAGCAAAGACATGATAAAGTTATTCTTCTTCATGACAACGCTCGGTCTCATGTCGCTAAAGTCATAAAAAAATATTTGGAAACGCTCAAATGGGATGTTTTACTACACCCACCGTATTCTCCGGATATTGTTCCTTCTGATTACTGGTTGTTCCGAAGGATGCAGCACGATTTTATAAGTCACCGGTTTCTTTTGCAGAAATCGAAAATTGGCTCCAAAATTGAATCGCCTCCAAAGATGAGTCATTTTTGCGAGATGGAATTCGAAAATTGCCTGAGAGATAGGAAAAAGTAGTAGGCAGCGATGGACAATACTTTAATTGATCTGTTCATTCATTTTGTTTTGAAATAAATGCATTTTTGAACACAAAAAAACGGACCGAACTAATTTGTACTCCCAATATATAAAACAGAAATTTTCTGCTTTAAAATATATTTTACAACTTTTCACGCGAAACGACTCTCACCCCATCTTCCCTCCTGCTTAGAGGCGCACGACTTTCACGCAAAGCTCTCACCACTTCTGCTTTAAAGTATATTTTATAACTTTGCATGCGAAGTGTCTCAGAGAGGAGGTGAGTCGCTCTTCGCATGGAAAGTTGTAAAATATACTTTGAAGCAGAAAATTTCTTTTTATTTAATAGAAAAGAAACACCATTTTTCAAATTTCTTTTGTTTGTAACTTTTTAACGAAAGACGACCGCCAATTACAACCTGTCGGAAGTCATTCAGGGTTATAACTCCTTGACAACATATGTCAAAGACATTGGAGCAGATTCGTTGTTTTCAATATTTACCTAAAATATGTTCATTTACCAGATATGTAAATATGAAATCGAAATTTACCAATAGATGGCCATAGTTATCAATGTAGCTGCCATCGACAGCGCCATTTTCTTGTTCTGATATCTGACAAAGATTTTCAACTCACAACAATACAACTTTCATACAACAATACAGTTTGTAATAGCGTTGAACATGTCGAATTTTGCCTGGAAACTACGATTCGCAGACACCATTGATTTTCTGTTACCATTTGAAGAAAACTGCTGCAGAATCAAATGTTTATCGAAGCTTATGGTGAACATGCTCTTGGTAAATTACAGTACTTTGAGTGGTTTAAAAAATTTAAAAGTGGCGATTTTGATGTGAGAAACGAAGAACGTGGAAAAGCACCGAAAAAGTTTAAAGACAACGAATTGCAAACATTGTTGGATGAGGATGACGCTCAAACTTAACAACAACTCGCGAATCAATTGAATGTGACACGAGAAGCCGTCTCCATACGTTTGAAATCCATGGGAAAGATCCAGAAGATGGGAAAATGGGTTCCACATGAACTGAATGAAAGACAGCAGGAAAATCGAAAAACCACTTGCGAAATGCTGCTCGCCAGGTACAAAAGAAAGTCATTTCTCCATCGAATTGTGACTGGCGATGAAAAGTGGATATATTTTGAGAAAGCATAAAAAATCATGGATAACTCCACTCGAACCATCGACATCGATTTCAAGGCCAAATCGCTATGGACGGAATGCTGTGTGTTTGGTGGGATCAGAAAGGTGTGATCTATTATGAACTGCTAAAACCTGGCGAAACTTAATACTGAACGCTACCGACATCAAATGATCAATTTGAATCAAGCTTTGTGTGAAAAACGACCGGAATATCAAAAAAGGCAACACAAAGTGATTTTGCTTCATGATAATGCACCATCACATACAGCAAAACTGTCAAGGAAACGATTGAGACATTTGGTTGGGAAATACTTTCGCATGCGGCTTACTCATCAGACTTGGCTCCGTCCGATTACCACTTATTTGCATCGATGGGACACGCACTTGCTCAGCAGTGCTTCACTTCTTATGAAGATGTACGAAAATGGCTAGATGACTGTTTTGGCTCAAAAGAACAATTTTTTTGACGTGGCATCCACAAATTGTCAAACAGATGGAAAAAATGTATAGCCGATGGGCAATACTTCGAATAAAATATTTTTTATCATTTTCATGCCATAAACGTGTATTTTCTATAAAAAAATTCCGGTTTCATATTTACATACCTGGTATATTTTTATCAGGATTGGGTTCATGTTTTTTTTTAAACTAAATTAAATTAAAGTTAATGACTTATAAAATTATTAAAATTAAGTTAAAAATTGAAGAAAAGAATTAATTTAGTAAAAGTTAAGATTAAATTAATTTAAGTTAAGAAAAAAGTTAATTAAAAAAAATTATTTTTGAGATCAGAATCCTAATTTTTCTTATAATGAGATTACTTTAAATAACGTTTACAAATATAGATTATTAGGTAAATTTAATTTTATATTCACATGTAAGTTACTTATATATAATAAGAGTCACACTACAAGACATTTTTGTAAAATCTTGCAAGAGAGAAAAGTTTGCATTATTTCTCTTTCTTTAACTTTTATCTAATTTTCTTTTAAAATGACTGCTCATGCATATTTACGACTACATCGACTAGATATTATTTATTACAAAGATAAATGTAAAAATTTAGAAAATGGGTGGATGTGCAGTACTGTTCTACAACAATTCTTTATCTAAGCTTCATTTCATATTTATGTTGCTGAAATATAACATTTATGATACCTAAAATTAGTATGATTCAAATGTAAGCGGAAATTAACAACACCTAGCGAGTTAATAAAAACTGGCTACCGTGTGACTCTTATTATAGAGTCTCTCATAAAATCATTGAACTTTTTCTAAATTAATTCTCTAATATTTAAGACTTTATAGAAAAAAAATATTAGTATTAAGAGAGGTAGAAAAATTTTTAATTTAAAAAAATTAATAAATTAAAGTTTAAAAGTAAAATTAAATTAAAAATTAATGCATTTAAAACTAACTAAGTTAAGTTAAA